TTTTTTTACTACCACAAAGAAGAAGGTACAAGCTATAAGGTTGTAACATTTTTTTAGTGTGTTGCATTTGCAAAGATAAAAAAATGAAGGCGTTTGTTAAAAGCTCAATGACTTAAAAAAATTAAATGGAACACCCTATTTATTGTTTTTCACTTTTTTCTTTTTTTTGTATGCTTTTCTCAAGTGTTTATATTTTATTTTTGTTGAATTAGTTCAGTTGTCGGTCATTGACACCTCTACTATCCCCTAGAAACGAACTAATTTGTTTTTGTGTTTACATTTTTTTATGATTACCGTATCATACATTTATTGTGAGTGTTGAAGGTAATTCAGAAAATTACAATTGATTACCTACACAAATTTATTCACGACATGAAAAGGCAATCTGTAAAAATTATGATTTTGTTTACATTTCCTTATTTTTGTATGTATTTCATTGAAGATTTTTCCAGACAAAATCCTTTCACCCACTGTATAATTACTTCCAATTTCAGTATTTCATTAATGAAAAATCGCCAATTACTGCTGCAGTGATTGGAATTATAAATCCTACAACGCATCTATTTGACAGCTGATGTGGTGAAAAAATATTTCAATGACTGTCTATTTGAATTTGCTAATCTAAAAACAATAATCTTGTTGTTTGCCGATTTCAACACTAAAAACTGCGAAATGCATCCTCAAATATTTAAATGATTCTTCATTAAGTACTTTATTAGGTAAAATGCAAATACACCTAAGTATGAGTTGTTCTAAAAAGTAATTATTTATTTAATGATTATTATGGATTTGACATTGCAGTTGAAAAATTGCTAATTACTTTTATGTTAATCCTTTGTAAACATGCAACAATGGCTTATTTTTAACAATATGTGTTGTAATTATTAGAAAACAACAAAAACATTTAAAAAAATGCGTCATAATTAAACTACTACAAATCCGAAAATTTTTTTTTCTTGTGCATCATGTGTCGTCTCTCGCAATCACAACTTTCTCTTTGTCTTTTTTAATTGATTTATAAGTAAAATAGCCGTTGTTTTGAATTTTTTACCGTGTTCTTGAAAAGGTTATGTTTAATTTTGAAAATTTTATTGCATTTTATGACTCTTAAATTACTAAGGTGCGACTTGACTTCACTGTGATTACTCTTGCTTTGCAAACAACAAAAGACAATGGCATTCTCATAAGGAAAAAGTTAATGAGTTTAAAAAACACATAATCTACTTCTAAATAATACACTGCATTCTTGACTCAAAAATTCATTTATACAGGGTGCGCCCTTAAGAAAAATGCCATGTAAGATACAATGCCAGGAACATGGAAAAAATGTTAAAAAAATTCTATCTATAAAAATTTCGAAGTTATGAGAGTTTAAATTTCGCACTTTGACTATTTTTTAAGTTTTTTCTGCTACATGCTATTAGAAAACGAAAATAAGGAAGCTAAATTGTTACTTTGATTAGTGTTAGTTGTGGTTTTTATTGGCAAATTTTTGTACCTGTACTAAATAATTATAACAGAAAACATATATAAGATCATCATTATCATTAAATAAACATACAAAAATGTCAAATGTCAAAAAATAAATGTAAAAGTTTTTTGACAGATAGAATTTTTTAAACATTGTTTCCATGTTTCTCTCAGGCGCGAGTTCAGACACCCTGTATATGACGAGTGATACATTCTGGGGCTCATTTTTTGAGAAAATAATATTGGTTAAAACCGAATCCCGCTATCGTCTTTCGTTTTCGACTTATAGACAAAAATTGACATTTTAGCGAAATCTAAAAAAATTCATATCTTCGTTATTATAGAAGACATAGATTTGAAATGAAGACATTATAGAGGCACTTTTTTACGTAGAATTTAATAATGTAGTTAACAATTTTTTTCAGTTGTTTGTTTAGCCGTAATAAAATAAACTTGTATTTTTTTAAATGGGAATCATAGATGGCTATGTCATTTTTTAAAAGCTTGTTTTTTTCTTATCTAAAAATATATATTTGTAACAGATTATTATGATACATTTTTAGCAAAAATTATCTTTGATTTTTGTTTGCAGTTGGCCATGAAAAAATGTTGCACTAGTGTCACTAATGAAAGAGTTTTCTAAGTACTAAGTAATGAAAAAATGCAAAATAAATTGTAAATCAACTTATTTGCGACTAATAACATTTCTTTGTTTTTAAACAAGCTAACATTACCACTGCAACTTCTGATACATAGAGTGTTGTAAAAAAAAGCCGCTTTCATCCTTCAATAAAATATATTTTATATGATACAAAAATGACGATATGGCTATTCAAATACCCAAATTCCGTCTATGTGAAACGTTATCCTAGTTATTAGATCATCAAAAAAATGTTTTTTCTAATTTTGTTGACTGTTGACACATTTGTTTTTCCTATTTTTTGATTTTTTAAAAATATGTAATAATTTTGTTCTGAGGCGCTCGGATATTTGTTCAATGCTGCTACCGTATCGAATTTTTTAAATCTTTATAATTTCATCTATTTTACAGTTCACAAAACTCTTATTGATTATTATTTACACATTTGGAGTGACAGATAGAATTTTTTAAACATTTTTTCTTAGTATCTTGTCTTACTTGAAATTTTTCTCTGGGGCGCGAGTTCTGACACCCTGTATATGACAGCCTGTATAACAAGCATCTTATTGTACTTTGTTCTGATTAAAATTGTCATTTTTATAATTCAATTGGAGACCGGAGCTACACAAGTTATTATTCATCCTCCAAAAGGTAATTTAAAGGTAATGTAAAAAAACTAAAGGTAATTTGATAGAATTGTAAAAATGACACGATTTTAATTCTGGTTAATTCTTTTAGTGAGAATACGCGGGAAATTTAAATTAAATGTGTATTAGTCTGCAGTGGAGCACGTTATCTATCTGTTATCTATAAAGCGAGAAATATAAGAGAGAGATATTTTGTGTAAAATTTTTTTCATATAAAAAAGCATCGTAAAATGAGCATGACACCATTTATAAAGTTTACAATTATTGTTATGGTCTGTTTTTGCATATTTGTTAAAGGGCAAGATAAATGTGGCGAAAGTAAAGCAGAATGTGAGGCACAAACAGACTGTTCGAATTGCATTCGGGAGCATCCTTGTTGTGTCTTTTGCTACGAAAAGGTAACGAATTTTATTTCATTTTCTATTAAACATTTTCGACAATGCAGAAGTAAATTTTTAATTTAAAATAATTTTGACGCGGAAATTATTAGATCAGATAGATACCAGGTGGGCGTGGCTACGCGCACTTGATAAATTGTGACTTCTAATTAACTAAAACTAGCGATATTCAATACACCTAACTAATTATAGGGTATGTATATAATAATACATATACCTATATTTTTATATCGAGCAAATGTCAATAACTTTTATCATTGGTATTTACTCAATGATAAACTGCATTGGATTAAATACCGTAACCCCTACTTCAAAATTTTAAATGCCCCCCCCCCCCTACTTTTTAAAACGTTATCGGAAAGAGAAAAAATTAGCTTATCTAAATGTCAAAGAAATTTTTTTTGTCAATTTGTTTTTTACTTAGGGGTGGTTTAATTATTGAAATTCTTAGTCCTATTAGCCTTTGATTCAACTCAATTTAAGTTAAATAAAAAATGTGTCAATTTGGGTTGCGATGGGAAAGTTCAAAACCAACATAAAATACGTTTTACGTTTCATACCCTAGTCACTAACCACCCTTACTTTAAAATTTTAAAAATCACCCCCAACTTTTTGAAACATTTTTGGAAAGAGGAAAAAAGCTTATATAAGCGTAAATAAAAAGTAAAAAAAATATCGTCGTGTACAATATAAAATTTTATTCAATCCTCACGAATTTTGTAATCAATTTGGTCGATAAATGTCAAAGTAAAATTCAACAATGAAATCTATAATGTCAAAGATCGTTAGCAACTAACAACAATGGATGTATTTTTTATTATCTAGACGATAAAATTTCATTTTAACATAGAAGATTGAATAAAAATATTTAAAAAATTTTATCTTTCAAAAACTTTTGGTATTAATTTTTTGACATTTGACATTTTTTATGTCTATTTAATGATATTGATGATCTTGTATATGTTTATTTATAATTATTTAGTAAAAGTACAAAAATTTTGCCAATAAAAGCCACAAATAACATTGAATTTAGGATACAGCTTCCTTGTTTCCTCTTTTAATAGCCTGTAGCAAAAAAACTTTTTGCACTCTCATAACTAGTTTTTTTAAACAATATCAATAATAATTTTTGAAGAACTAGCTTATTGTTCTTCTTCTTCGTCTTCTACTAGTACATTTTTAGGATTTCCAAGGCCCTCGATGTTTCAAAAGAAGCAATTCAACAACTTGCAACCCAAAATATCTAATAAATAACTCCGACATTAAAATCGAAAGCAACAAAGTTGAATTTCGGAGCGTTTCAAACAACGATGTTGACACAGCCGTTCAACTAATCCCCACGAACTTCAATGCCACTTTGCGAGTCGGTTAGTAACATTTTCGGTAATTTACCCAAAATCACGAGTTTTACAGGAAAACCAGTCAATTTAACCCTTCGTTATAAACCAGCCGAAAACTACCCTCTCGATCTGTACTACTTGATGGACCTCACGATAAGTATGGCAGGGACTTTAAACATTGTCAAAACCTTAGGTAGCAACTTGACAACATTGTTAGAAACTTTGACTAAAAATCACCAAATTGCCTTCGGCTCATATATCGACAAGCCGGAAATGCCCTTCTATATGACATCTCCTGAAGATTACAAAAATCCCTGCAAAATCGATTTTGAAATATGTGAACAAGGATACCTCTTCAAACACAAATTAAACTTCACTGATAACATTGAAGAATTTATCAATGTGGTGAGCAGTAGTAGTCTTTCGGCCAATAATGACCACTATGAGGGCGGTATGGACGCCCTAATGCAAATTCTAGTGTGCGGCGAGAAATTTCATTGGATGGAAAAATCCCGAAAGTTGGTCGTGGTTGCCACTGATGGGCTTATGCACCTCGCAGGGGATGGTCTTCTTGTAGGACACGTGAAAAAAATCAACACTGAAACGTGTCTAATCAACTCTGAAGGCAATTATTTTTAAAGTGACACTTTTTTTCCATCGCCAATGTTTTATCCGTCTATCGCATGTCGCATTACAGCCCATGGCTCGCATCAGCTGACCGTGTAGCATTTATATTCTTGCTCATTCGTGCAAGAAAAAAAGTCTCACTTGCATCGTGGTTTCTTTAAACCATATTTTATAATTTTTTTATTATTATTGAAGGCAATTACAACTCGAAAATCCGCTACGATTACCCTTCCTTGGAAGAGATTTACCACAAGTTGAAAGCTGAGAAAACCAACGTCATCATAGCGGCTGCGACCCCAGATGCCTACCATTACTACCAACAAATGTCCCAAATGCTCAATAGTACGTTTTTCGTTGGGCAATTGGAAAATGACTCGACTAATGTCTTAAATGTGGTGAAAGACGGTTACTATGCTTTTGCCCGACTTGTTAATTTGTTTGTTAATACTTCTGAAAGTGAAGAACTTCAAGTTGATTTTTTTGCCGATTGTGAAAATGATGGGAATTGGGTGAAGAGTTCGATGTGTTCAAATGCAAGGATTGGGAAGGAGATGAGTTTCAAGTTGCAACTTATACTGAAGGAGTGTCCTCGTGATAATAATCCGGTAAGATTTTCAGTTTGAGGAAGTCGAGAAGCTTTCACTCTCGATATTTGAGAATGATTAATTTTTTGTCGTTTTATTCAAAGAAAATGAGATTTAATAGTGATTGCGTGGAGTGGGCTTCTATTTTAACTATTAAAAAATTAAACAAGCTGTAATTTTTAATTGAAGCAATCAGATTTAAAAAAATCAAAAAGTACTAAATTTCAGTAACCACAAAAAAAGTAACTTAAGAAATAAACATTTTCCAGAAAACTCAAATAACCACGAAATTATTTTTTAGTTCCTTCAAGCTTGTTTTTAGATTTCGTTGAAAAATCTGATTTTCAAAAGCTGCTTGGTTTACGCGTTTTAATTTTTTTAATTGTTTTTTTTTTTTGGGGGAATTGATTCGGAAAAAATTTTTTTTTAAGGATACTTTATTTGATCCATTTTTAAATTAAAAATCAAATTGGTTGTGTATTTTAATAACCTATCGATCAAAAAAATTATTATAAGAAGTAGTTTTTACTGAGTTCTGAGTCTCTTTGAAATTTCAAGATTTTAGTTGAAACTGTTTTAGTAGATTTTAACCAATGATTTTTTATAATTTTTTTACGACTTTTTTTGCTTATTTAGTAATTTCTATGTTTAAAACAAATTATACAGATTACATAAATTTACAACTTTTTTATTAAAGAAAAAAATTGTCTTGTTTTTTTGAAAAAAAAATACGCAGGGAAATATTTAAAAACATACCAGGTTGTGACGAAAAGTGAATGACAATAAACCTAGACCTGAAAAAATTATGAACCTTGGATCTGGACTTTAATAAAGGTCAACGCTAATTGTTCGTTTTTTCGCATCTATCGCTTAACTCTCTTTTTTTATTTATGTCTTAGCTCTCGTGTTCTCTTTCCAAAAATAATTACCAAATTAAAAAATGTTTAATAAATTTTTTGTAAATATAAGCCACTCTTCCGTCAAGGGATGCTCTGATTCAAAATTACAAGCATTTTAATTACTTTAATTGTTTTTTTTTCTCTTGTAGAGAACCATTTACGTGGAAGAAAACAACATTTATGAGAAAATTGCTATTAACGTGAATTTTGTGGGATGTATGTGTGATTGTCCAGATGCCACAAACACTGGAATTAACTGCAAACATGGATTTTGGGATTGTAATAAATGCTCTTGTGACGATGGCTGGTAAGGAGTCTCAACATCAATTTCAATTTATTTTTGCGATGAAAAAAAAAAAAATTGGAAAATAAATTAATTAATAATTTTCATTTTGTAAGTAATTTTTCGGCTAGTTTAAACAAAATTTTTCGAAAATGTTTTGCATTTATATAAAAAAACCTGGTGAAACATTTAGAAAAAGCAAAGTAATACAATTTAGTTGAATTTTTGGCTTGTTATAAACGAAATATTTAAACTGAAGTTAAAACCTTTGAAAAAGTAATGTCAAATTTCGCTCAAAACTAAGATTTTAATTCAAAAACGTGCTTGAAAAAAAGCTAAGTTACATCAGTGTTTTTTTGGGTTATTTTTTTGAGAAAATTTCGATAAAAAAACATCTAAATCGAGTGAAACAAACTAAATAATGTCAATTTCCGTTTATTTTTTTAATTTTTAATCATGTTTTGACAAAGTCTTGAAAATTAAATGTATTTCCAGTTCAGAAATGATGTAAATCGAACGAAACAAGTTAAAATAATATCAACTTCGTAATTTTTTAGTCAATTTTATATTACAAATTGTTTATATTATAAAAACGTGATAAAACACTTTAAAAATTTAAAAATAAAATTCCTCAATTTCCTTGCGAAATATTTACAATTGAGAAATATGATAAAACACTTCAAAAAAAGACAAGAATAACACAAAATCTTGCACAAAGTGAGATTTTAGTTAAAAAAATGCTTGTAAAAGGTAAAGTAACACAATTTTCGACCAAGTTGTATTTTCGGGTTATTTATTGCCATTTTTTTTTGAAATAATATCAATTTTGATTTATTTTTGTAACGTTAAGGCATGTTATGTCAAGATCTTGCAAAATAAATGAATCTCTGGTTTAAAAACAAACTAAATCGAACGAAATAAGTGAAAATAATATCAATTTCAATCTAATTTAGAATTTTTTTAGCCAGTTTAAAAAAACTTCGTTTTTACAAATACAGGCTGTCCGAAAAGTCGCGCACCTCCTTGAAAGACAAGAATTGGGTAGTCCCCCAGAGTACTGAAAAAAATGTTTAAAAAATTCTATCTGTTAAAAAATAATTGACATTTTTATCTCTATTTAATGATATTGATCATCTTGTATATGTTTTTTTACAATTATTTAGTAAAGGGACAAACTAGATTTTCCGCCTATTCACATTAAAACAATTACAGAATTAACCAGAATTAACTTGTCTCTTAATCGTAATAACCCATGGTTTAACGTAACAAAGTGGCCTATCACCTTGAAATTAAGTTGGCAGCATTAAATAATGTAGAGACTTGTTAGTTTTTATATACAGATGTTTCAAAACTTGCGCCCCAGAGAAAAATTTCAAGTAAGGTTAGATACCAGAAACATGGAAAGAATGTTTTAAAAATTCTCTGTTGAAAAATTTTGATATTTATTTTGACATTTGACCTTTACTAGAAAATTGTTTTTTCAACAGAAATAAATGGAGTCAAAGGGGAAAATTTTAACTTTCATAACATCGAAATTTTTATAGATTTTTTTAAACATTTTTGTTGTTGTCTAGGTCACCGCCCTATGATACAGTGTCAAATTTCCTGTTTGTTTTTAACAAAATTTTGGAAAAAAGTTCCCTTTCTCTCTAAAAAAAAACGTACTGAAACGGCCTGAAAAAGGCAAAAATAATAAAATTTTTGACCCAATTTAGAAACTCATCGACGTTGTTGGATGGAATTTCGTAAATAATTTGGTGATTTTTCGACTTAGTTTTGAGAAAATTTGACAAGTTTTTGCAAAAATTTACAATATTACATTTTTAAAAAATAATTATTAATAACAACAATTTTTCCCGTAAACCAGGACCGGACCGTCTTGCTCCGACCGTTGCGAAAACGACCACCAGGATTGCCGTTTGGGCCCCAACGGTAAAATTACCATTACTTGTTCCGGACTGTAAGCCATCCCTTTTTTCTCAAACCCTAATAATTTTTGATTTTTAGGGGCGACTGTATTTGCAAAAAATGCAAGTGTTACGTCCCCTACACCGGTTCAATATGCCAATACAAATGCCCCATTGACAAAAACCGCCAAATTTGTAGTGGGCATGGCGAATGTGTGAATAACGGGACATGCGAGTGCGATAATCAATACAGCGGTCACGATTGCAGTTGTTTCGAATCAAAAGAAGGTTGCACCTACTCTGATACAATCTGCAGCGATAATGGGGATTGCAAATGCAACAGTTGCAACTGCGAGAAGGACTATTCGGGGCGTTTTTGCCAGATTTGTGACAAGTGTAGCCAACTGTGCGATGACTACAACTCAATTGTTGAGTCACGTGAGAGAAATGTCACTAAAAATGGTAAAATTATTGTGGTTGAGTCAGTTGGGGATATTCCAGAAGAGGAACGCAACTGTTTTACGAGATTTAGGACGAGTAATGGCGAAATTTGTGAAATTAATTACAAAATACAAAATATAAAGGGTGATTTTGTGAGGATTAGGGAAATGACACCAAAGTGTTACAAACCAATGGCGGCTGGTGTCTATGCTGCACTTATCATAGGGCCCCTTTTGTTACTAGGGTTCCTTGTTATTTTGATTTGGAAGACTAAAAATGTAATACAGGACAAGAGAGAGTTTGCCCAATTTATCGAAAACCAGAAGAGGAATCGCACCAATGAGAATCCTCTGTACAAATCTCCTCTTGTCACGTATAACAATCCAATGCAAAGAGTAGAGTTTCATGGAAAAAGTGAGTAAGTGGGGTTTTTTGTACACCGTTGGACATGGAATTTTCAACGATTTGTTCTTCGATTTGACTACGGAGAACTACAAACTAGGAGACGAAACGAGATACAAAATTGCTCGATTTTTTGGACCGAGAAAAAGTAGCAGAGTAAAATTTGCATCGTTAATAAGCTGTGAAAAACGAACCATGAGAAATATGGGAAAAAAAAATTTACATGTTTTTCAAAATGCTGCGAATACGGTTAAAGATACAAGAAAAATGTAAGAAAGAAAGTTGTAGAGAATGAAATTTTCTAGTAAAAAGTCCGCGAGACCATTCCTCTATTTTTAAAGGTTTAGGCCTCAAAGACGTTCAAAGCCGCTCAAGCCACATTTTTATTGATTCAGTGCCAGAGGAACACTTTAAAGCAATTTAAACCTGAACCGTTGAAGATAGAAATATAGTGTCGGGGACTTTTTTGTAGCAAATTTCATTCTCTACAATTTTGTTTCTTACAGTTTTTTTGTATCTCTAACCGTACTCGCAGCGTTCTCAAAAATATTAGACAGAACGCAAATTTATTTTTATTCGATATTTTTGAATACGGTTGAAAATACAAAAAAAGTGTAGGGAACAAAGTTGTAGAGAATTAAATTTCCTACAAAAAAGTCCGCGAGACCATATTTCTATCTTCAACCGTTTAGGTTTTTTATTTGTGTTTTGCTATATAAACGGGAAAGGAACAACTGCGCTATCTGGGCCTCACTAACGGAACTATCGAGAACGGGGACGTTTTGTTTAACATCGTGTTTAGGTATCCGTAGATTTGACATAAAAATGTAATTCGGGCTTTAGTCAACTAACCTCACTTTTGTTTTTTTTTAATTTTTATTCTGATAGAGAAAAAATGACAATAAATCAAAATAATTTACTGAACTTATATAAAAACAGTATTGCTGGCATTATTGTTTCGGAAAATCGACGCCAAAAATAAATTTCAACTACAACTTTCAAATTGTGAAAGTGAGGTTAGTAGCCTAAGGTCCGTTTTACATTTTTATGTCAGTCGAATGACAAATCGTCCAAATTCCATGTCCGCTAGTGTCTACTTAAAAACTAAAAAAATGCAAGGCCCTTAGATAGTAACCTCACTTTCAATTTAATGGTACTAATGTAGTAGTAGTAGTAGTAGTAGTAGTTTACACGTAAACAACAGTATGTACGTTTTTCTACGTTTTTTTATTTAACATAACATAGTTCTATCATTTTCTAAATAAATTTTCACAAATTTAGATTTTGGGATATTTTAATAAATGTTTTATAATTTTTGTATTTGGACACTATGTATTAGTTTTTTTAGACTTTTTTTGAATTTTTTTTGAGTACACCTGGAGTTGATATTCGTCGATAACTCCCGAACTGTAAGTCGTATTTGACACCTTAATTTCAAACAGTGTTGTCATTTGAAAAATATTAAATTCACAAGTTTAGAGAGGAAAAGCTGCCAAATTTACACCTATTTTTACCAGATTAATTACAAGATTATTTTTCAATATTTGCAAAAATTTACGTTTTTTACATAAACTGAATGGTTAAAGTCCAAAAATATAAGATAATCTTTTTTATAATAGTTGATTAATTTTTGCCAAGGTATGTCGAAAAAACAGAGTTTTCAGCTTAAAAATCTGCATAAAAAGGCAAAAATTAAATAATTTTTGTGACTTTTAACACAGTATTGGAAATATTGTCGTATCAATTAGAAATTACTCCCTAGGATTTAGGGATATTCGTGAATAGGTTGCCATAAATTTAGTTAGGTTGGTTTCTGGTGACAAACAAAAGATATCGTGACTAGCGTCAAAATTTATGTTAAGTCACCTGTCACCTTGATCTTTGACGGCAGGTTGACAGAAAACGTCAAACGTCAAAAACAAGGGGTAACCAACCCTAGGCATTCAAAATTACTTCTGAAAATTCTAGTTAGAAACAACGTAATTTTCCTAAAAGTTCAAATCCTAGGTGGTAATTTCATGTCATGTCTGTAATTGCGTTTCCCGCTAAAAAAACGTGTTAAAACACTCGAAATATACAAAAACAACGTTATTTTCGACTTTATTTGTTGATTTATTGATTTGTTTTAACGAATTTTCGCCGCAAAATCCGATTTTTAGAAAAAACCGCGCTTCAATGCATTTTCGATTTGTTTTCTTGGCTTATTTTTGCTTAAAAACCTAGCGAAATTAATGAAATAACATCAATTTCAATTTATTTTTGTGAAATTTTTTAGACATATTTGGATAAGATTTTGCCCCGATTTTGATTTAGTTTTCTAATTTTTCACGAAATTTTTTGTTTTTATCTCAAAAACGTCTTTAAACACTCGAAAAAAGCAAAAATACAGCGTTTTTGGCATATTTTTGAATAAAATTTTGTGGCGATTATTATTGTGAGTAAGCCTAATTTTTCATTTAAATTTTATATCGTTGGGATAGGCAATCAATTATACACCATTTTTTCAACTTGAAAATTTGCATAAATGAACTTGTTACTAAAAATGTGATACAGGACAAGAGGGAGTTTGCGTGGTTTATCAAAAATTAATTTGTGTTTTTGTGACATGTTTTTTAATTAAAATACTTAAAAACTGTAGACTTTTATTAATCAATAAATAATTGCATCTTAAAACTACGCATCGTTATCAGAGCCAACCGAGTTATCCTCGGAATCCCCATCTTCAACAGTTTCCCCCAACTCTTTTAACCTAAAAAAGAAACCAAACTTATTATTCAAACCCCAAACTTTCACTCAACACTCACCTATTTTTAAAAGCATTCAATTTAGTGTCTTGATCCGTCAACAACTCCAACAAATCATCTTGATCCTTCCTCAACCTCTCCAATTCTGCATCTTTCTCAACCAACTCACTTTCAAGTTGCTTAATCCTTTCATTACTCGGATCCGACAACTGCATCTGTGCTTTAAGCACTGTATTTTGGTCCTGAAGTTGTGAATTCGTTTGACGCAACTCCTCGATTTGTCCCTTCAAATCCTGATTCTCCCGTTGCAAGTTACTCAGACTTTTATTAACTTCCTGCAACTTCTTATCTTGGTCCCTGATCAATTCTTTGTATTGTAGAAGTAAGGCATTTTCGTGTTCACTCAAACTCAACTCGGACATACCATTCGACAAGTCTCTTTGTACCCCCAACGCTTTGATAATAACCGGCTCAAGAGCCTTGAACAGTTTACAAAACTCGAACTCTAGTAACAGTTCACTGGAATGTTTGGCCCGGATTTGGGGCTGTTTCGCCGCTTTGGCGTAGTTTTCATGTCTCGAAATCTCCCCCAATTTCGTACAATAAGTCTCAATCCCGACTCGCTTCTCAATCAATTGCGACAAATTCTCTTTCGAGTAGTTTTGGACTGTGTTATCATTGAACGCCACACAAAGACCCATCAAAAATGCACATAGACCTTGAAGGATCTCCTCATTGTTATCAAACTCGCTGGCGCTTGTCTGTGCTGTGAGAAATGCCATTGCCCCTGGCACGCCAAGGAAGACTTGAACGGCTTGGGGACAATAACTCATCCACATTGCTACCAACATCAAAATACCGATCTTAGCCTGGAGTTTGGTGGTTTGTTGAAGGAAAACAGCGCATTGGTGTAGGAGACTCACTGGTTGTGAGCCAAGATTAGTAGCAAGGAGGACTCTCAAGAGTTGCTCTTTTTGAGCAGGATTTTCAATAAGGGTGTGACTCAGAGCCACCGCACTGAACCAACTACTAAGCGACTCGGTGTTGAATAACCCGCCACAAAGAAGTTGGCCGGTGGTTAGACTCGAGTTAGTGGAACTAGGAAGGAGGGTTGAAACCACTTGCTCCTGACCAATCTCGTTTTTGAATAGGAAACATTGGAAACAATACAAGACAGCGCAGCGTAATGTAAAGGGTTGTTTCTCGTTGACCATTGACATGAGTAAGACTACTATTGCCGGTCTTGGGGGGTTCGAGGGTGCCATCACACTTGCAAAGTACTCCTGATTGGTCAAATTGCCTCGTATGACTTCCCCCACTGTGTTTATAGTCTCAGTTAGAATGTCGGCTGGGACCCCACTTGCCATTAGGATACTACACAAGGCCTCGAGTAAATTCACATTTCTCATAGTTTTTTGACACGAAGTCACAATCTGGACTGGATTAGTAGGCGAGACTAAAGTCCGGACTAGTTGTAGGACACAATGCATGTTTGAGACTTTCTGGGGGCTCCATCCGACTTCTTCTAAATTATCGGGGAGGATGAACATCGGGGCTAACTTCTGTATATATGATCCTTCTTTGAAAAAATTGATGTTACTAGTGTTATTTTTGAGGAGGTTGAGCATGAGTAGCATGCAATCTTCAACCACAATGCCCCCATCAGTGAAACCCTCTTCTCTAATAACGTCAAATAGCCGATCAAAGGCATTTTCAAATGCCACAATTTTCTGGATATTAGCATTAGACTTTGTCAAGTTGATCAAAAGTAGGAGGGCATCATTCCTGATCACCTCCCGACTCTCCACCAACAAATCCATCAGTTTTGACACCCCCATGGGGCTTACTAGAATCACATCTTGGATTTCTTTCGGTTTACTCGCCAAAAGCGACGTTAGGAGTTTAACCGCCGGCCATCTGACCCTAAAATCATACTCCTCCAAGAAACTCAAAACCAGAGTCACATTTTCGCTATTTTTGATAAACATTTCCGTGAATTGTTCCCCCACGTTGACTTTTATATTTAGATTTGTTTCACTCTCCTCTTCAAACACCTCCTTCGAGGTGATATTACATAAAGTGTCGAGGCAATAACCGATGATTTCACAATCGGAGCGGTCCAATTCGAGGACTTGTCTCAGGACGTCCATGCCTTGGGCCCCCACTTCGAGGCGGTACTTCCGCGAGAGGGCTTTGAGGGCGCGACATGCGTCGCGACGGTCCTCCAATAGTGTTGATGTGCTGACGCGACTTACAAGTCGTTCGACCTAAAAGTGGGGTTAGGGTGAAGACAGCTGGTGGGGCTTTTGGGGGTACTTACGGTCTCGGCACCGGTGGGTTGGGTGCCAGGGGTCGGGGCCCCCAGGACTGACTTCAAACCGCTCCGGAAATACTCCATTTCAGGAAATTAAAACGAATTGTTTGGAATTTTTGACATTTCGACACAATTGAAATGTCAATAAATCGTCGTTAATGAAAGCCACAAAAGAGGACACTTTAATTTGTTAATTTAATCAATAATTGATAAATTTACAAAAAAAAACGACATTATTAAGGGTCATTTAGTTAGGAAATAGTCAATTAAGTAATTAATATTTGTGATTAAAAAAACTTGATGGGTTTAAATTTACAGTGACCTGTAATTTTTTGCTCAAGTCAGTGTCATTTAATTTGTTAATTTAGTAAATATTTAATTGATTTACTAAAATACAACATCTTTTGGGCCATTTAGTTAAGAAGTGGTTAATTTTAATAATTAATAGTATTGCTTGAAAAAGCTTGGTTGGGTAAAAGTTACAGCGACCTGTAATTTTTCGCTTGGGACGCCGGCTGAGAGATGGTTCTCTTGATCAAACTGTCAGTTAAATGTCGCGAATTTTGGCGGGAATATGAATAAAGGGTTTCAGGAGGGTGAACGCGAGTTTATTTTTCCAAATCGGGACAAATATTCGGGTCAATTTTGTGCTCATGTGAGTGGTATAGCATGGAGACAAGGTCGTGGTATTTACGAGACGCATGATAATCAACACTATGAAGGAAATTGGAAAGACGACAAATTAAATGAAGATGAAAATTTGCAAATTATTTTTAAAAATAACGACAGTTATGATGGAAAAATCAAAAAGTATAAATACAACGGTCCGGGGACTTACACGTTTCATAGAGGGGGTCGATTATGTTGCGATTTTTTGAATAATAAACCTTCAGGTAATGTGATTTTTATTGACTACAAAGGACATCTTTGGTTTGGTAATTTTTCAATTTTTAAATTACTAATTGAATTAATTTAATTGTAATTAAGGTGATGCAGGTGTAGAACATACGTTGCTCTACCAAGAGCACATTTTTTCGCAAGAATTGGACCCAGAGAGGGGCAAAGGGCGGCCCTTAATCAAAGAAACAACAATCAAAAATGAAGAGGAAGAAGAAGAAGAAATAACAGAAGAAGAAAAACCTGATTTGAAAGAACTAGAGAGACAAGTTTTCGCTAAAAGTACCAAAACCAAGTCTGATATCGACTTTGAAGACTCTGATTGGTTCAAAAACTATCAAAAAAGCACAGAATTGAGAAAAATTGTCTTGGAGAAATTGTCAACTTTGGGTGTTTCGAGTCTCACCGATGAAGAAAAAACGTGGTTCAAGGAGTACTACACAAGTGCGAAAATTCTCGAAGAGAGGAAGAAACCGAAGAAGATTAATCATGATTTGTTGAAGCAACATTTCGATGAAGAATCGAAGAATACTTGCCCGCCAAGTTGCATTTTTTATGCTTCAAATTTCAGTGGAGAAAATTAATTAAAATTTATTTGTGATTGGTATCGGGACACCTGGGGTCGTGGGCGATTCGAATTTAAAAAATAAAGATTTTGTGATAAATTTGAATATAATTAGAAGCTCGTGTTTGACTTTCAGTCAGACTAAGTCTGAAATATTGGCTTCAAACTAATTATAATTTCAGGAATTGCAGTTAATCATCACTAATTTATTTATTTTATAAAGTAGCTAATTTATTACACTATTTGTTTTTACTCTACAATTTTCCATCTGTTTGAGTGAAAAAAAAATCAACAGTTTCAAGCTGGACTAGTATTAGGAAATAACAGATGGTTGAAATTAACAACAATTCACCTGCCAATAATAATAAATCGAAAATTTAAATTAGAGTTCGATTTTACTAATTGGCCACTTTAACAAAGTGATGAAATGTGGAAAAAATGGCCGAGTTGTGATCTAGTGCGAAAATAATAAAAAAAACAATGAAAAAATTTGCGACATTGTTTATGGCGCACGCTGCACAATTTTTTTGTGTACAGTCGCAAGCAAAAACAATGTCGTAACTAAACTAGCTCAACTGTTTTGCGTTTTTACTAATTAAGTAAATTATGTTACTGATTAACTTCTAATCTACGAGTATTTGAGTGCTGAAGTGGTACCAATCTAAAAAAAATAAATTTCTCTAGTGTATATTACAGTATTCATTTGGATGATTTAATAATTGCAGTTCGTCTCTCTAAAAATCAATTATAAATAGATAAAAAAATAATTTTTTAAGTATACCTACTCACTATAAAACTTCTTTTTTACAAAGGTTACAACTATCTACATTTTTTTCGAATTTTAACGAAAAACTTTTCATATAAGTTGTCAATTTAAAAAAAAAAATCGCGAAACTCAAAAGCAAAATAAAATTTCATTCTCAAAACGCGATTACATCTTTTATACAACTTTAATTTTTATGAATTATTATTTTTGGAAGCAAATGATTAAAGAAATGTTTGGTTCCATACTATTTAAAAGTCAAGTGTATTTTGCAACATTACTTTTGTTGCAGAGTGTACTTTTGTTACTAGTGTTTCATGTACTTTTTTTTTCATAAAAAATAAATATTTTAAATTATTGAAAGCTGGAATCAAAATGAAAAAGTAAAATAAAATGTTAAAAATATAAAGCTAAATTACGTAGGTATATTTGAAAATGTATGTAATCTAGACATTTAATTTTTTGACGTAAATTTAAATTTTGACGTAAACAGTACCTACTTGTATCTATTTTTAATTTTCTATTGTACAGTAGACTGCACAAGTAATGTCATAATTTTAGCGACATTAGTTTTGCCGGCAACTGTACTTATTTTTTATTTGGATGTTATTATTGTTGCTTGATTTATATTTTATGTGGAAAACTTACCGCAAGCAAAAATTTAACTCAAATGTTTTGCGTTTTTTTCACTAATTAAATGAATTATGTTACTGATTAACTTTTAATCTACGAGTATTTAAGTGCTGAAGTGCTACCACTCTAAAAAATAATTTTCTCTAGTCTATATTAAAGTACTCATTTGGATGATTTAATAATCAATTATTGCAGTTTGTGTCTCTAAAAATTAATTAATTTAATTGTGACAAATAGATAAAAAAATATTTTTTTAAATATACTATAAAAATGTCAAGCATAAATTTTTTGTTTCTACATTTTGCAAGATTTTTATTTTTTTTTTTTAATGACAACTCACTATAAAACTTCTTTTTTACAGTTTACTAACTAACATTTTTTTCGAATTTTAACGAAAAACTTTTCAACTTAAAAAAATCGCCAAACTCAAAAACAAAATAAAATTTGATTCTCAAAACGCGATAACATTTTTTATATAACTTTAATTTTTATAAATTATTATTTTTTGGAAACAAATGATTTAAAGAGATGTTATGTTCCATACTTTTTGTTCACTCTGTATATTTAAAGGTCGAGTGTATTTTGCGACATTACTTTCGTTGCAGAGTGTACTTTTGTTGCTATTGTTTTAACTAATTTATATATATATTTTTTAATTATTGAAAGCTAAAATTAAAATAAAAATTTAAAAATTTAAAGATTTTTGTGATATAAAAACTACGTATGTATATTTGAAAATGTATGTAATCTGTATGTAAACTGTACTTATACCTATTTTTTATTTTTTATTGTACAGTAGACTGCACAAGTAATGGCATAATTTTAGCGACAATACTTTTGCCGGCACTGTATTTTATTATTATTTTTTATTTGGATGTTATTACTGTTGCTTGATTTATATTTTATGTTGAAAACTTACCGCAAGCAAAAAATAAGTTCAAATAATGACTTTGGTCGTAAATAAGTTTTACCACTCCCTTCCCATGTTCTAATCAAGATATTGTGTTCTAGTTATTAATATTAAAATTAAGATGTTTTCGAAAATATATTCAGGAATACAGTTAGTTTCTGGCCTAAATTTCACAAATCATTAAAAAAATTTTTTGGTCACAAACACGAAATTTTTATTATAGTTTGTATTTTTTAATTATTTTTGCAGTAGTTGATAAGAATGATAAGAAGCTTGATTTATTTTGAGCGATGTATCAGTGCGCAACAATTTCGACCAAAGTGCCCCATTATTACCCAAGCCGCCTACAGGCCGGTACTAGGGGGAGTAAGGGGGGCCCATCAACGGCGGCCGAACATCGAACAGTTGAATGCGCCACCGCTGCCGTAGTGGCGAGGTCTTCTACTACCGTGGAGCCCCCTTCCAGCAGGTGAACCGGACCAAAGCCGACTCAGTCGAGATCAGAGGCAGACACAGGCGACTACCTGCACCTTTTGTGTGAACCACCTGTGGAAAATGTGACATTGTTCAGTGGGAAAAAGTGACCAATTTTTGACACGGACAAGTGAAATATGTGATTTATTGACTTTGGGAACAATCAAATTTTGGTAAGCTTTCAAAAAAAAAATTGTGCCCCCCCCCCTTGAATTACCTAATCCTTAATCTGTGTGTTTAAAGACCATAAAAGTGGTGGCTTAGTCGAATTATAATATTTGTTTCTTATCGCGGTTAAGTAGGCTATGGTGCATTGTTGCCACGTGCAGCACCGCGTCGCCATCTTGTTATTGCGCGCTCTTTATTTCATAGCTCACTTGAATTTTTGAATTAATTCAAGTTTTTGCGGGGTCATGCTTGTGGGAAAGTCAATGGTAGTTAACAATATGTCATGTGTCACTTGATACTTGAATTGATTTACATATTTACGTGCTACCATTGGGCGGTTTGTGGCTACTTTGTTATATGTGATGGAAAAGTTTGATTTTTTTTCGGTTTATTGATCTAAATTTTGGCGCCAGAGGCGTTCACGATTTAATTCGATTGTGAAAAAGTCGCGGACAATGAGCGAAAGGGTGTTCACCTTTCAACATTTCAACAATTTATTGTTTCAAAACCACAATTTTAACATAATTTTTGCAGGTAGCCAACGTAACCGCTTATTATAACCGAATTTTGACTACAGTAGCAATTGGCGGTTTTCAGGGACTTTCACTTTAAAATTTTTACTCAAGTTACTTGTTTTTTTCACTATTAAAAAGCTATATCTATACAACCACTTTATGTTTTTTCCAAGTATGTACTTTACTCGGTTCTAGGCAATAAACGCCAACAAATAAAAAAATTGTGGCTTGTATTAACGACTTTTCAGTTACAAAATTATCAAATAAACGAGATAATAAAATAATTACTTGTTTCGTAGTTAGTCTAATGTTGAAACAAGAAATAAGCATAATTTGTTGCTTAGTAACTTTGTACAGTTTAAAAGTTGGTACTACCATCCTTAAAATTTCATCTACTCTAATCACATTAAAGCACTCAATTGATTTTTTACTAATAACTAGGATTGCAAACAAAGAACTAGTTTTTTGAAATGTATTAATTTAGGTAATTTTTTTTCTTGCAGTTGGGCAATACTGACGAATTCGTTGTTAATTTAATGTAGAAACTAGAGACAAACAATTGTTGCTTAGTAAAATAGGTAATGCCAATCTTAGAATGTAAACCACCCTAGTCACATTAAAGACAATTAATGTTTCACAAGATACACATAAATACGGGGTGTGCCAGTTAAGATTATTTGATAATTGGCCTAATTAGTAATAAAAAGAATTGCCAACTGAACAAAAATAAATAAAAACTAGTTTCTGTGATGTATTAATTTTGCTAATTTTCTTCTTTTGGTTCGCAATACTGACAAATGAGCAAATTTGTAGTTAATGTACTGTAGAAACATTTGTTTGTTGCTTAGTAACTTTACAATTTACATGTTAGTACTACCAACCTTAGAATGTCAACTACCCTAATCACATTAAAGCACTCAATTGGCACAGGGTGTCTCAGTTAAGATTCTTTGATCATTGCCTCAGTTAACAATAAACAGAATTGCAAACTGAACAAAAAATAAAGAACTAATTTTCTAAGATGTATTAATAGGCAATTTTCTTCTCGTGGTTGGTAATACTGAGAAACGATGAAATAAGCGAATTTATAGTTTAATGTAGAAACTAGAAACAAACATAATTTGTTGTTTAGTAACTTTACAATTTAAAAATAGTTACTACCAATCTTAAAATGTAAACTATCTTAGTCACATTAAAGCAGTAGACAAGATAAATACAGGGTGTGCCAGTTAAGATTTTTTGATAATTGGCTAGGTTAGTAACAAAAATAAATAAAAACTAGTTTCTGAGATGTATTAATTTAGGTAATTTTCTTCTTTTGGTTGGCAATGCTGACAAATGATAAAATAAGCGAATTTGTAGTGTAATGTAGAAACCACAAACAAATATAATTTGTTGCTTAGTAACTTTACAATTTCAACGTTGGTACTAACAGTTTTATAGTGTCACATTAGTTCTTCATACAAACAGGGTGTGTCAGTTAAGATTTTTTTGATAATTGGCTTAGTTAGTAATAAAAAGAATTGCAAACTAAACAAAAAAAAATAAACAACGTTTTCTCTGAAATATGTTGATTTAGGTATTTTTTTCCTGTGGTTGGTAACATTGATAAACGATGAAATAAGCGAATATAGTTTAATGTAGAAACCAGAAACAAACATAACTTGTTGTTTAGTAACTTTACAATTTAAAAATAGTTACTACCAATCTTAGAAGTAAACTACCCTAGTCACATTAAAACACTCAATAGACAAGATACACATAAATACGTATTTTTATAATAAACAGGATTGCACACTGAACAAAAAAATCTAACTATTTTTCTGAAATGTATTAATTTAGGTAATTTTTTTCCTGTGGTTGGGAATACTGACAAATGATGAAATAATTGAATCCATATTTTTAAATTTATCTAATTATGATTATAGACGCTAATTACTAACTTTGAAAAGTGAAATATTACTAGCTTATTAAAGCACTTTTAAACTTCAATAAAATTCAAAATTGCGATGTTGCCATTTTCAAATGGATTTGGCAACACTGAGTTAATTGATTTTAATTTTTTAAAACCAAAGCCAATTGCCCATCAAAATCCTATTAATTTAAGTTTGATACGCAGGTTGCCAAATACCAAACTCGCAAAACGAAATGGCACTAATTCAGCGCTCTTGCAGTTAAAACGAATGATTTCTTTTTAATTTCCTTTGAAGTTATCTCAGGAATGCGTTATTAATGTTAGTTCGGGATAAGAAGTGCATTAATGCTCACACACGAACACCTGTAATTATACTCCAAGCTTGAGTGAATTCCTCCAACTATTTTCTCAAAGCCTTTTTTGTTTGTTTGTAATAAGGTCATAACCAAATTCGTCCATCTATTTTATCTCCTCACCTTTTATTTGTAACGATTTCGTAACGTTTTTAGGTGTTGAAATCGCCATTCGAATCGTGTGGCAATAAACAGCGTTTCAGGACCCGGAAATGATAAATTTCTTCTCGTTTCATTATCATTTTTATTAAAGTGCATTCGTGTTCGAATTCGGCTACCGGAGGATAATAATGATTTGTCGAATTAGAATAATTGAATATTTTAACAGGAGTTTAGAAATTTCGACGCCCACTTGATGACACGAGGTTGTGACCTTTGCAAAAATTTAAATCGGTTTTTAAATGAAATTTGAAACCACAAATAGAAATAATCGTGAAAAAGTGGAAATTCCGCGCTTGCTTCTGCGAATCTATTTTTATTTTTACATTTCTGCTTGCAACCGCAAGACGTAATTAAATTCATGATTTGAAGGGTTTGTAACGTTAATCGTGTGAACTCACCTTAATTGCTTTTTTCTAAACTAATTATCAAGCTGTGAGGTGGATAATTATAGCTGCATGCACACAATAAATTAAATCTGGGATAAAGTAAACCGATGACTTGATTGCTTTGCATCGGTTTAATTCCCCTTTTCTAGTCGAAAAATCGAAGATATTTCCAAGATAAACAAACGAAAAAACTCTTCTTTGACTTCTCGGAACGTGAAAGTCAACAGTGAGGTATAATAGTAAAGTAAATAGTCCCTCTTGAGTCAATAGAAGTAGGCACTGGTGTGGCCTTGGCGGAGAACACGGGGTGGGCGTACAAGTTTTTTCAAAACCGCTGCCAACCCCCAAAACCAAATTCCCCACTCGTATTAAAGTAGTCAAAACGAAACATTTATGTTTAGTGACACTAGACAGTTTTTTGATATTGTTTTTGATATTAAAGAGTATTGTAATCTTTTTTATAATTTTGTAATTGTATTTGTTTTTTTTTTGTTGAATTTTTAGTTCAAATAATTAAAAAAGTTAAACTGGAACACTCTATATAACTTGATAGCGTTGTACCAACCTAAAAAAATAACCTTGTTTATTTTAACTTGTTTGGGACGATACCAACATCAAAAATTAAAATGTATTAGTCTATTAAAGCACCTATTTTGATTACTTATTAAATAAATAAAATAATGTCAATTAATTTTTGTTTGTGATTTTTAGGCATTTTCGAGCAAAACGCACGAAAACGCAAAAATGACATTATTTTCGACTTAATCCTGTGTTTTTTTCAGCTTGTTTTTGCGTTTCCAGACAAAAAAAAAACGTAATGCAAGAATAATATGATTTTTGACTTTTTATTTTTTTTTAGTTAGTTTTTTTTTAGTTTAGTTTATTTTTTGGTTTGTTTTTTCGAAATCTTGCAAAAAACTTGAGATTTTAGAATAAAAACGTGTCTAAAAGCATTTCAGTTTAAATTTTGTGTTTTTTCGGCTTAATTTTGCTCAAAAACTAAACGAAATCTAGCGAAGTAAACAAAATAAAGTCAATTTCAATTTTTATTTGTGATTTTTAGGCATTTTTAGACAAGATTTTGCGTAATAAATGAGCCTCTGGTTCTAAAACGAAGTAATCGAGCAAAACAAGCTAAAAAATATTATCAATTTTGATTAAATTTTGTGAAATTTAAGTCTGTTTAAATGAATTTTTTTGATTTTATCTTTAAAACGTGTTTAAACACTTAGAAAAGGCAAAAACTACACTATTTTTGACCAAATTTGTTGATTTTTCGACTCTTTTTAATGAAATTTTGTGAAATAATTGTGTTTCAAGCTGAAAAATGTAAAGTAGTGAAAAAGGCAAAAGTAAATTGTCATTTTTAACCTTGTT